TATATTTCTTTTTGTATATAGATAAAGAGGGAGTGAGAGATGGGGAGGGGGGAGGGGGAGGGGGGATGGGGGAGGGGAAGGTATAATTAAAAATTTTAATATATTTCTTTACACTAATCGTCCATTCGTAAATTCAATCGGAAAAGTTTTATAAATACATATGTCGTATATATATCGTAAAATAACGATATTGAGATTTTAATATAATATTTAAAACCTAGAAAAATAAAAGTATTATTTTGTTGTATATTAAAACAATTTATATAATGTTAAAAACATTTTAATTCGCAAATAGTTTTATTATGCATAAATCAATATCCTTAAAAATTACTTCATAAGTTCCAATGGACCATGTTTATGACCTGTAAATATAACTTTGTCTAACTGATATCGCTCGATAACATTCCACTGGCAATGCTCGTATCTTTGCAACTTGAAAACGGAATGCGATTGAAAAATGCTATGGAATATATAAGTTATGGGCAGTTTATTACAGGAAGTGTAACGCTCGGTTCGTTTCTTGCTCTTACTCAACTCAGAGTAAATGACTTGGATCATTAATTAGTATGCCCTAAATGAATAATGTGGCCCATTATTTCGGAAAAGTTATTTTTAAAAAATTATTAATTCTTATTTATTGGCTGATCGTACAGCGGCAGGAAAATGGGAACGAAGGGTAATTTCGTTTCGCGTATAACTATCTGTTTATTTTACCGTTTGACTCGACCGCTCCCTATTTTTCAACCGATGTCTCCCAAACGAAGAAACGCCTCTTTAAATAGCGACTCGAATCTTTCTAATGCGATATGAAATCTGAATGACTAATATCAAATACTGTTTGAATTTCAGCCGCTCGTTGATTTTTCCTCCTACATTTCCATTCGTTGCTTAAGCTCCCTATTCCCTTGCTTGCTCTCTTGAAGTTCCTGATTCGATTCTTCCGCCTATGATAGATCGAGTAAGTATTGATTCTACGATGCATTATTGCGTACTGCAGACGTCCAATCGGCTGTCGAACAATCATAAAGAAAGCACACACGTCAGAAATATGCAGGACGCGTTTCTTTTATAAAAATTATGAGACAAATATTTCTAGTTGCAAAACAATATTGACTAGATGTATGAAAATCGTGTTATTCTTAATATCTAATACAGGAATAGAAAAATATAAACAATATATATATATATATATATATATAATAGATATAATTGGCATTGTTATAAGTGTGTTAATTATTTAATAGCGTTAAGTAAAAATGACATTTATTACTATATTAAATTCATTGTACAGTTATTTCTATGTAGTAGATTAGAAATAACAAAGTAATTATTTGAGCGTTGATGTGGAAAGACCTCGAACTGCACCCTCACGTACGTAATCGATCAATGCCGCATTTTCCCCTGCCATAAAATAAACTGATATAAGCAATCACCAAAATATAATATCATATAAACATGGTGTGTGTATATATATATATATATATATATCAACTAAATAAATATATATTATCTGGTAAAAAAAATAAAATAACTGTGAGCTTTCTTTGAATTTGATGTTCTATTGTTTCTGATATACATTAAACACCCTGGAGCTATCAAATTTCAGAAACGGATTTATGAAGCACCGTGATCCCCGTATGTGTATTGTGCTTGGAAAAAAACATTCTGGAAAATTGGTTTAATCCTATAGACTTAAGATATCATTAAATATAGATATTTAATATTATTACCGAATACAAAATGAAAATACGTCAATTATTCTTCATTTACAAAATAATGCTCCTTACGTTTCGAATGGATCAGACATACACAACCTTCATTCGCTTTTTTTTTGTCTCTCCTACCCACCTACGCTGTCTCTCTCTCTCTCTCTCTCTCTCTCTCTCTCTATCGTTCACACATGCTCACAATCTCTCGTTACTGAATTCTCTCTCGTATTCTACCCAAAATGATTTTCATAGTTTCCATACTGCCATTTGCAATTATATTTCAAACATTTCATGTCTTCCATTCTTAATGTCTTCCGTACAACTTTTAGGAATTACGGATGAGACTGACTCTGACTACCTAGCATCTTTAATTATTATCGTCACTTATTTTATCTTATTCGTTTAGATTTTAAAAATCTTTTTTATGTAAATTCCTTTGATTATTGCAATAGTGTGAAAATAAAATTATTTTATATGCAATTTTGCATTAATAAATTAAAATTAATATTTGAATTAAATTTTTATATTTAATAATCCGTTGCAGCCAATGTTACTGAAATCGATAATAATACAATGAATTGTAATTAAATAATTATTGATTATTTATTTGTTATTAGAACCATAAATATTAAGATATAGTAAGTAGGCTTGTAATTAAACTTTATTGAAGGCATAAATAATAAAAATGAGAAATGAAAATTCAATTTTGAATAGAAATTATTTTTTTTTGTGTTAGTTTACAAATTTGCATTCTTTAAAATTTCGATGTCATTTCTTACACTCCTATAATATCAATATGATTTATCAACATAATTAACATTGATTAATAATAATTTTAAAAACTTTATAATAGTTTATTATTATAATTAATACTGGTAATGATAAATTAACGTAACATAATTATTCTTAATTTAAGTTTCTTCTGACATGCGCATTTAATATATCTACAAATAATTCATATTTTTGCAAATATTATTGAATATTAGTAACAATCATTGTATAATATTTTTTATTTTTTATAATATAATGGAATACTGTTGATACCTCGATACATCATAATACAATGAATAGGTAAGGAAAGAACAGAAATATCCTTTTATTAAAAAAATATTATAATAATTTATATAAATATATAACGAATGAGTAAAGGAAATGGAATTTATGTTTTTATCTAATATTACATATTTACTTTATTAAAATTGTTATATTAACCTTGAAAACATATAAAATAGCTCAAAAGAATGCGAATGTTCTGGAATTTTCTACAATTCAAGTCTTGGGGCATAAATTATATTTAAGAGGGAAATAGGAGAAAAAAATTTACTGCATTGATCATGAATAAAATTAAATATCATATTTTATCACATTTTAATTCATATTTTAATAATTTTAGCATATTTTAATTATATTGAAATTTGAAACCATCATGTTAAAAGTATATTAAATACTCTTACCAAATATTTAATAAATAATTTGTAATAAAACAATTGGAAATTTATAAGTTAGAAGTTATAAATATAAATATAAATTTAAAAATAAATAATAAATTGTATATATTTTATTAAATGAATAATGCAAGTATAAAATTAAATAGTAATAGTAATAGTGTTGTTGTTGTGTTGTGGTAGTAGTGGTGGAAACATTGACAGTAGAATATACACGAGATATAATAATTATAACGACAATAGTACTGATAGTTCGAGTAATATTCGTGATAATCATAGTATTAACAATAATAGAATGAAAATTAATTTATAGAAAGAAATTTTTATCTTTTAACACATTATTCAAAATTTATTTACAACTATCCATCACTAATTATAAATAAATTATGTTTATATATTAAGAATCAAATAACAATGTATTAGATGTGAAACTTTTGCTGTCTCTCTCTCTCTCTCTCTCTCTCTCTCTCTATATATATATATATATATATATATATATATATATACATAAAGCAAAGAATGAACATAAAATTCTTTGAAAAGACCGCAAGAAGAATGTATTAAATTGAATCTAAACAAAACGTTTGTATAGACTGTAAATTATTATCGAAAATATACGTTTTTTAAAACACATATTTATGATAGACTTTCTCAAGTCGAATAATACTAAAGCGAAATACGAAGATTGAAACGTTCAACAAAAAGAAGTTTATGTTTGCGTATGTATATATATATATATATATATATATAGAGAGAGAGAGAGAGAGAGAGAGAGAGAGAGAGAGAGAGAGAGACAGCAAAAGTTTCACGCAACAATTTTCGACGATTGCAGTTACGTGGATTACATTGAGTACGAAGGAGGAGGAGGAGGAGGAGAAGAAGTCGCAATTATTCAATCACTGCCCTCCGAGGGTCGTCACTCGAGGAACGGTTCATCTCCACGCCAGTACCGCCCACCCCCCTCCCCCACGTGTGCTTTTCATTACGTCTGTCGCGACAGATTCAACGCGGACTTATCCGTGTGTGCATCTCGATCTTGATTCTTTTACTCACACGTCGTCGGTATTTAAAGTTTGAGCATCTCATTCACATTCCGTCTTTTATATACAATATTTCATATGTGCAATTACCCCCGACAAAGCATAGTGAAGTGATCTGCTATAACCATTAACTTTCAAGAATGAAAACACGTAAGCAACAGGATTAGAGTATCGAATGAATGAGGGCTAGAAAGTAAGAAGGAAAAATTTCACAATGAAATAGATCTCTGCGAATTGAGATTTTTATTGCGCGGTTTAATCTTTGTGAACTTTCACTTTTACCGATATGCTCATCAGTTTAACAATATTATAATTCGACAACTTTTCTCATTAGCTTGAATAAGTTTAACCAAAGTATTATCATCGAAATTATTTTTAAATTTAATATTATGAGAATGCGACGTAACAATTTTCATTATAAAATTATAACTAGTATACAATAATAATTTAATGCACAACTTTTACATTATAAACATACATTTTATTTAACTTTATTCTTGATTAAAAAAATGTTTTAGTGAATCGTTTGAAACATCTGCGTATATAGTGTATATATTATATATCATAAACACTTGTTGTGAAAGTATTTTGCGGCTTTTAACGATTGTGGTTGTATTTTTGTAAAATCATGTGCCGATGATTAAGGCTAAAAACAAAGACACGAAGAAGAATTGCGATGAAATTGAGTCGTAGTTGTTTGATGAAGAATAATTGATCTTCGTCAATTATTACAATTGATTTTCAGCAAAGAAAGTAAACGTTGTTATTCGAATTATCCAATATTCGTAAGTATATTCACAATTATTAGTTTTAATTGACTAATTTTTTAAGATAACGTTATGATGATTTTGGCCCGATAGAATTTAATCTTGCGATTGATATTTCATTTTTCGTGTTAATGTTTATATTTATACGTAATTTATAATTTATAATGTAGATTAACTATGGAGAACACAAGCTATTTTGTAAATACGATATTTTATTTGACTGAGCAATGCAATTAATTAGTCGAGATTTAATTCAAAATGTTACATCCATTGATACTTCAACGCTCATAAAGTCCCAACGGGTGATAACACATAATCTGATTATCAAATGATATCGTATTGTTGATCGTTATTTTATATTAAACGCCATTATTTTTGCAAATTACTACATTTAATGTAATGCTTTATACTTTAATTTTTTAATTTGTCCCAATAACATTGATGCGATGATCCGAGTATTTAAAACTGTTTATCATTAATAAATTCGAATAGCCTTTTCATTAATCTTTATCTACATAATATGTAAATTAAAGATTAAAGAGCAATATAAGATTTTAGTTGTCATAGTAAAGAAATTAAATGTTAAGTTAGTGTACGATCTAAATGAAAATTTATATAATGGAATGGAAAATTTTTTGTAAAAAAAAAAAAATAAAAGTAAATAAATATTAAATAGTGAGTGAAGAATTTCAATAACTCTCATCTTATGCTAACGGTATAAGAAAAAAAAAAAAAAAGAAAAAAAAAAGGAAAAAACAACTCTGATATTTAAAATCTAAATCTTTAAATGTTAACATTAATCTATGTAAATAGTAAAGGAAGGAAAACGTAAATATTATTAATTATGACGTATATGTATTAGTCTACACGATGATTGTATTATCTATCCTTGCATATTCTATAAAATTATACAACCCAAAGAAAGCATGACGCTAAAATAATGTAGAATATTATTAAATACCAAACATTTTCTACAAGTTAATATGATAAATATAATTTAATTTATCTAGATAATGGAGGGTATTGGAAGAAAACAATTCGATGCTATTGATATTGTAGTTTTTACGGGTATGCTGGGTATTTCTGCCGTAGTGGGAATTTATCAAGCATATAAATCAAGAAAAAATCCAAATGCTGTGAAGGAATATCTCGTGGGTGGACAGAATATGTCAATTTTCCCTATAAGTATGTCACTTATAGCCAGGTGAGTTTTTATTCAATTTTATTTAAAAATTTTTTTCCAACCAGCCACCTGTTCTTTACTTACTGTATACGAAAAATGATTCGCACAACTAACTATAAATACTAATAAATATTCCAAACTATGTTGCACTTATTAATGCAATTAGCGTATCCATAGTCATTATAAACAATTAGTCGGAGATTGATTAATCTCTAAGATAATAAACCTGTTTAGTTCATATAAATTTTGATCATTTTTAGTGACATAATTAATAATTAAAGTCACGTGATAATTTGATTAATCCAATTAGTAATATCAATTAATAATTCATTTGCATACCAATATTTTCAAGTTTTTTGTTTAAATTTTTTTTTGTTTTTTTTTTTTTGTTTTGTCTTGTTCTTTAAGTTTCCTCGCATATTTCACTAATATTATACACAATTATTATAATAGATAATTTTAAATTTTACTGAAACAACAATGTTTTTTCTTACTATTATTAATAATTATATTATCATTACAACAAAATGTATTTCCGAAATGTTCTTTATTATCAGTTTGATGTACCGAATAATTCTTAATGAAGATAATTTAAATGACACACTGCAATGAAAATTTATGAATGCAAAATAAAAAATGAATGCAATAGTAAATTTAGTAAAACTCTTTGTTTATCAAAATATTCTATGAATAATTTCGTAACGTTTTATTGGCTTATACCGATTAATACAAACGATTGAATATTTATTATTAAAATCATAATGATATGCAAATAAAAATTTTTATTATATTGGACAGGCTAATTAATTTTTAGATAATTTTATATACCTGGATCTACTAAAAAAATATATCACATTTCTATCGAATTCCGAAAATTCCGAAAATTTCGAAAATTCCGAAAATTCTGAAAATTCTGAAAATTCTGAACATTTTAACGGCGAATTTGTCTAAATGAAAAAAAAAAAAAAAAAAAAAAACTATTGCTTATAAAATAAAATATTCGAAACAGTTATATATCAGGCATCGCGATACTAGGGCTTCCGGCTGAAATGTACGTCTATGGAACTCAATTTTGGTGTGTAATCATTGCCGATTGCTTTGTGTCGTTAACGATGGCCATCGTATATCTGCCAGTGTTCTATGGTCTACAAATTACATCTTCGTACGAAGTATGAAGTCTAAATATTTATGTAACGTAGATGAATTTTAATTCTGTAATATCGTTTATAACATGTAATGTACAAATTTTCTTCAGTATTTGGAGTTGCGTTTTAATCACGTAGTGAGACTGATAGGATCAACTATTTTTCTAATAAAAATGGTAAGTAATATATATATATATATATATATATATATATATATATATATATAATGTATAATATTTTTAATGTTACCGAGTTATTATTGTTTGCCAAAAGCTGTTTCTGCCTATAATGTAACCATTCGTCATAACATGTGTAACGTAAAAACTGAAATATTATGATATTTTATACTTTTATATTATTATTTTTCATCAGTGCCTGCAATAATTTCATTTGATGTAATAATTCTTTAAACGCTACTCCGAGGATTTTGAAACTTTATTCTTGGAATTAGCAAATTGCATGAAAATCAAAATTGCATTGAAAATTCTTTACGACTTATCGATAAAATGTTGGACAATGTAGTGTAAGCCAACAAAGTATGCTCAAATTCACGCATAAAATTCAAAATTCAATTGAAGATAAGCTTTTAGGTCACTAATTTTAAATGCCACTAATAGTAGTCAATTTTCTAATTATTGTAGTTACTTTACATACCCTTGGTAATATATGTTCCGGCGCTAGCATTTAATCAAGTGACTGGTATCAACTTACACATGATAGCCTCAATAGTGTGCGCCGTATGCATCTTTTATACGACTTTAGTAAGTCCTTTATTACATTTCTAGTATGTCTTATTAGTTATTGTTTAGAATATTATTCATTTTCTATTTGCTTTTGACGTACATAGAACCGCATGTTAATTTTAATCGCCTAAGGGAAGAGTGCACGATAATTAATGATAGGAAGTGTAGTTTTTATGTTATTAATGCAATTGATTATATATATATATATATATATATATACATATATATATTTTTTTTACGAATATAATTACATAACAAACGATTGTGCACTATCATTGAAGATGTATTAATTGAAAGTAGTTATTATACGTAGAAGTAGTAATATATTCCTTAATATATATATATATATATTTTTTTTTATTATTGCCACACAAGAATATTCCTCGTTAATTTACGTACTCTAAAAAGTGCGACATGCTTGTACAATAATCGTTCCCATTGTTAACAATTATTGATGATACGTAGATATTTCAGGAATGATGATTTCGTTGCTTGTCATGCTTGGAAATTAAAGCACTAATAGAATTCGATCACCAAAACTATAAACCGAGGAATAATTAATGAAAAATCTTTAGCTCGAATTGTATTTGAACGCGATGGCATGTAATTAGCATAATTCTGTTGTTCTAAAAGATCAGATTCTCAACGCGTTTTAAACTATCGAAATAACGGTATGAATGAATAAAAGCCTTATCGTACATTATAACCTGACCCGGCAATAAGATGTGGGTTTCATTGTCAATAATAAACAAAACAATGATGAAGGAAAGAAAAAAATCTTATCGTACCGTGTAACCGAAGCTCGCATCTTATGAATCTAACTATGTATAAGCAGAGAAATAAATGGAATACAAATAAGCTCTGTAAGAAGAAGAAGAAGAATAAAAGAGAAATAAATATTTGTAAACAGGGAGGCTTGAAAGCGGTTGTGTGGACAGATGCTATTCAAACAATCGTGATGTTTGGCGGCGTGATAGCCGTTGCCGTACTGGGAACATTGAAAGTCGGCAGTGTCTCCGAAGTCTGGAAGCGGAACGTCGACAGCGGCAGAATCGAATTCTTTAAGTAATAACGACAATACCTTCGTTTAACATGAAAAGCATTGAATTGTAGGACTGCCGGCGTCTCGGATGCTGCGTCCGCTTATCCGCTCGTACCTCGGCCCTTAATCTGTTTATACGACACTGGCCTCCTATAAGCCACGCACGTGTGCCTTCTCCCTCCCCTAATCGGGTCAGTACGTTCTAACGCTGCATAGGCCATACGCCATACGCCATACGTCATACGCCACTTCTTCACCTTATGAATGTGAATGTAACGGATCAGCAGACATACATATTTATGCGCGAAAATTCGACAATGATGAATTCATCCTGGAATGATTTTTAAGACAATCTGAGTGTATTTAGTTACCTCCCATTGTCATTGGATCAACGCGGCTTTATAACTCACAAAAACGAACGGTGGCTGTATTGTGATTGCGAACGATGTATGCAAATAATATACACGGATTAATCATGACTTAACGAAACGTCTACGATATACATTTGTACAATAATGACAATAATGATAATAACAACGACGGTTATGGCGATGACGACGACGATAATTATAACAACGATAATGATAACAATAACAATAACAATAACAACAATAACAATGACGATGACGATGACGATGACGATGACGATGATGATAATTCTAATGATGGCCATAATAATATATTAATAACATCCCTTGTAATTGTTTGTTAAGTATTCGTCTACTCTCTAATATTTATAATTAGCAATATAAAATTCATTTCGATATTTTATGTATAATATGGTTAAGTAGAAAATGCAAAATAGAAAACAAACAAACGCAAAAGTACACGCTTATCTATTCTTTACAAAAAATTGCTTACTTTTATCGATTATCAATTAGATGCAGTAACGTTTTTTTTTTTTTTTTTTTTTTTTTTTTTTTTTTTTTTTTTTTTTTTTTTACTATACATCATAAATGTTTACTATAATTTCTAACTGTTTCAATTGTATCCATTTGTAAGACAAATAGAGCTTAGATAAACTTCCAAACGTTAGATTAATTAATATTTTAAATATTAATATTTTCTTTTGCAGTATGGACACAAATCCAACGGTCAGAAATACATTTTGGTCAGTTGTCGTAGGAAATTATTTAAACTGGCTGGCAACGTGTTCGGTAAATCAAGCAATGGTCCAGCGGTGTCTTGCCATGCCCAATCTCAAAAAATCTAACATGTAAGCTTCGCGATAAGAGTATTATTACAAAGCTATAAAAATTATCGATAACTCTGATATTAAGATATAAGTCAGTAATTATTCTCACCTTTACAGTACAATAATGATAATGGCTGTCGGTATAGTAACGATAGTTTCGCTAAGCTGTTACACAGGAATTGTCATTTATGCTGCCTTTTACGATTGCGATCCCATTTCAACAAAGGTTTTTCTCATTCCACATTCTCATACATTTCCTTAATATTAAAATAAGCTTGGAAAAAAAATTATCCACTAATTAATATTGCATTAGTCTGTGGATTTGAAAATTATTGTATTCGAGATTGGTAATTCGGCTATTGGGATATAATTATTATATTTTCAGCAAATACGCAAATCGGATCAACTCTTACCATATTTTGTTATGGAAATGGCTCAGTCGATTCCGGGATTACCAGGTCTTTTTGTTTCTGGAGTATTTAGCGCGGCATTGAGGTTAGTAATTACAGAAATTTCTTCTCAACCTATGAGCCCCATCGCTTTTAACATTATTTTTACTACCTTTTACAATAACATTTTACCCAATATGCTAAAAGTAATAAAGCTAAAATTCATATTTCAGCACAATGTCAACAGGATTGAATTCAATGTCCGGAGTAATTTACGAGGACATGATCAAACCGTGGCTAAAGAAACCAATGACCGAAGTTGCAATTAGTCGTATCATAAAACTTACCGTTGTAATAATTGGAGTTATATGCGTCGCTTTGGTATTACTTGTGGAGAAACTCAGCGGTCTCATTCAGGTAAGCATTTGCTCTTTGAATTCTCATTTATTATTACTTTCATTAGTAAGTCGAACATTTTATTACATTAGCAATTTTAACGATAATTCATCTGTTATTAATAAAAGTACAGGAAAATCTGTGTAAACCATACTATTTACATTAGCATTGTCGAAAAATTTAAATAAATAATTGAGCTTCTAATTGAGTTGTCATCAAATTCATACAATAAATATATTACAAATTAAAATAGCTCAAAGAACAATTCGATGGATTATAAAAGTATCGATTATGCTATATGACGAAAATAATTGCCAAAAAGTTATACGAATCGTAATATATACGAGTCGTATGAATCTGAATATTTATAAATGTGTTATATGATTATTATTATTATTATTGTTATTATTATTGTTATCGTCGTTCCTGTTTTTATTGTTGTACTGTAATTATTATTAAATTTTTGTAGGTGGGAAAAAGTTTGTCTGGTATAACAGCTGGTCCACTTCTCGGAATTTTCACTCTCGGAATGTTTTTTCCATTTGCAAATTCTACGGTAGGTATTGAAAAGATTTTCACATATTCTAATGACATTTTGGCAAATGTGTAATTTAAGTATTCTTCAATTGAAATATCAATACAGAATTTTACAATTATAAAATACGAAATATATTACAAAAATATCAGCTCCTCGTTTAAATTATAATTAATAAGCATAATTTACATTATTTTAAATATAATTATTCTATAAGAAGATTAAATGACTGAAATAGATAGATTAAAGTTAAGTGTATAATAGATTAGAATTGAATTATAAGAAACGAAATTATCACATATTAAAATGCGAAATTCTTTTTAATTACATCCAATTGTAACCAATTTTCATATTCCTTTTGTGTTGTCACTTACGAATAATGAACAATTATAATGGTTATCAAGTGCTTTCTGAAGAAGAAAAAAAATTGCGTCCTTCACTCTTAATATCTATTTAAAATACAATATAAAAATTTAAACTATCGACGAACCAATTAAATGATATTAACTATAACATTTACAATTTGTAAAATACTTTGATTAATCGGTTTCGAAATGTAATAATTACTATAGTAAAAAAAAAATTATATATATATATATATATATATATATATATATATATAATAATAAAAATCGTATCTTAAGGAACGTATAATTTATTTAAAATACGTACTCTATTCTATTTGTATTTCTTAAGGGTGCAATGATAGGTGCACTGGTGAGCTTAAATCTTGTCGCGTGGATATCTTTCGGGACGCAAGCAGCTCTGGCCAGCGGCAAAATACAATTTCCGGTAAAGCCTGTCTCGGTGGAGGGATGTCTTGATTTTCAAAACAGCCATACAGCCAATCTGACCGTTATCATCGATGATACTGTTAAGTAAGTATGTATGCATTAATATGCACATGATTAATATTTTCTTTTTAATTTGCCGACGCTTAAGAGGTATTGCGAGAAAATAGATTAAAACTACACGTAAAAAAAAAGAAGTTTTTAAACTTCAAAATGTTTCTCTACGATTGTTATTTGTAATTTATATTATTCGTTTTTTTGTGTTTTTGTTTTTTTTTTTGTTTATTTTCAAATCAATCAAATTGTATAGTTAATTCGATTAAAAAATAAGCAATAATAGATTGTATAACAATTTCGTATTATTACTCTAGATCAGTCCATCTAATAATATCTAATACCATGAATTTATTGATTTGGTAATATCGAAATTGCTCAAAACATTATTTTTTATTTTTATTTCTATGTATTATTACTATTATAAATTTTGATAGCAATGTTCAAATATTATTTACATTAAGTTCATTAGAATAAATCACTATTATAATAATAAATATTACTAAAATCAATTCTAAGCCATAATTAAATATTTAAGGTATATTTATTACAAATTATTTAAATAAATTTTCATATTACATATATATATATATATATATATTATCGACTAGTCATTCATATTAGTATAATTAAAAACTTTAAAATTATTACACGTTACGTTATATTGCAAACTTGTCTCTCTAGACTAGACGTTCCATAACATTAGTTTTTTTTTTTTTTTTTTTTTTGTAACTATAACTACTATAAGACAATTAAATAAAAATGTTAATATTTTATAGCTATTTAAAATAAATATTTAAATTTAAAAAGGAAAAGAATTGTATAACAAAAATTCTTATTTGAACGTATTATATCTCTGTATTACGTAATATTAAACTTTATCCATAATTTCGGAGCTAAATAGATTTTTTTATCAAAGTATTACTTTCAGAAATGAAAGATAATTTTTTAAAACTGATTTATCTTTTCGTTACTTTTATATTATTTATTACATTTACTTTTATAAACACTGGGCGAAATATGACTTGATGTGATTCATCGTAATGTTTATAACTATAATAAGTAAAAAATGATAAAATTAAATACCTCCTAGAGAAATATATATATATATATATAGCTTGTATTTAATGGTATATCTATATGATTTTATAATATTTTGAATTTTATAAAATATACACTTTAGGTTCCATTATGATTATTTTTTTAATGTGTAATTTTATTTAATTTAAAATTATTTTTAATTTATATTTCTTTGCAGGGACCAACCTTTTTTTCTGTATAAATTATCATTTTTATGGTATACTTGGGTCGGTTTTCTAACAGCTATTTTAATAGGATTACTCGTATCATGGATCACAGGACCTAATAAATATAAACCTGATGAAAAAAAATTATACACGCCCATAATTCATGGCTTCTTAAAAAGAAAAAATGAAAGGTTAGTTATAATATTGATGAAACTACATAGTGTTATCTTTGTTCCCTTTATAATGTATTATTTATATAATTTGTATAATTATTGCCTGAAATTACTCATAATTATTATTATAAATGCAGATGCTGATAAGTCAATATTTAATACGTTATCAATTACATTCATAAAATACATCATAGGGAACATTGAATTAGTATAAAGATTAAAATAATATGCAAATTCCAGGAATAAATCTTATATGCTTTATAAAATATTTTTAGAAATACGGGGCTCGAAATAATAAATATGGATACATACTAATACTAAGCAAGAACGATGGCTTACCAAGTAGTTAATATTTGAGGGCAAAAATGTCTAAAGAAGTAAGTGCCTTCAACTTTTTATATAAAATCTCTCGAGTTACATACATGCGTACAATATGGGATATAATTGATGGAGTGTATGATCAACACGAGTATAGGCAAGCCATTTTATTTATTCTGTTTCATGGCCGTAATGTCGTATAGCATATCATCAGAAACGGTACCACCTAAAGTGTAAGAGATATAATAAAAATAACATGCATTATAATAATGTTGAAGAAAAAAAATCCAATTAATGCAAAAATTTTAACAATCCGAAATTGTCTACGAACCTTCTTTATGATTATTCAAAGGAATTTTGTGCGCATATCATGAAAGCGAAAAAAGCAGACGCTAAAGACATCCGTATGTGTAGCCGTGGACAAAACCAATTTCTATAGGAAGAAAGTAGTAGTATGATATGATGCATATACATGCAACAAGTAATAGTAGATTAAGTTATGAGAATAAAATAAAATAAAATAAGCTAGATAACAACTCGATTTCTCTATTCCTCGCTTCCACGTCACCACGCCTCCGCCACTTAATAATTCTTCCTTCTTTCTCCTCTGATCCCATAGAGACCAAACGATGTTTAAATGAAAATACATTGCACATTCGATAGCAAACATTAACATTTATATATTATTTTATATGAAGTTGCCGTAAGCACAATATAAGTTTAATATAAGCTTAAAATAAGGATACGTTACATCGACAATAACAAATATAACTGTGGTAAATTAAAAATCCAATAAACGTAATTTCAAATTTTTCAAAATTTCAAATTCATAATATATAAGTAATAAATACAATAGAAAAATAACAATCAACTGCAAACTTCCTTTGAAACAAATTTGATTTGAACCAAGATACAATGTAATTACAAAAGGATCTAAGAACTATTATTATTTTCCTATAGAATTTGTAAAACTTTTATAGGAAACAAAATTCTGTAAAGAGAACGTTTAAAAGAACTAGTCAACTCAATATTATAAAATTAATAAAAGTACGTAGATGAAAAAATTTGAATGATGAAGTATAAGAAATAATATATTTAATTTTCAAATCTCAATAATCCCTGAATAATTCATTAAAATATAATTCATTAAAATGAATTATGAATATTATTTAAGTAATTACTTTGTATTATGTTCTATTTATTTTACATATAATATTTTAACATTTCTTTAAATTAAATTTACAAATAAATTTATTATCCTTGTTCCTCGTTTCTATTATTTCCTAGGTTTCTATTATTTTTTTTTTTAACTCCAATCAGGTAAAACGAAAAGTCCAACGATATCTTTTGGACAGTTTTAAGCATATTTATTACGAATTGAAAATTCTACTTCCTAACTGTTCATTTCACTCGTGATAATTTTAAAATAATATGCGATTTAAGATTATATATAATAAAAATTATATATATATTCAAATTTTCATCATGCATAATATTTTTGCAAATGTAAATTAAATTTGAAATATAATATTAGTTGAAGATCATGCTTTCAAAAATAATTTATTATTTGTAATAAAATGACATCCAATTGAATGCAATTCATATTGAAGTCAAGTAAACAGTAAACAGTAACAAATTTAATTAAATTATTTGAATGGATAATAAATTTTTTTAACGTAATTATGAATATATTTATATAATTATGCCATTAGTGTTAATAATATAAAAAATTAATTTATCGTTCTACGTATACAGATTATAATATGATATGAATCCACAATTTTTCAGCTTGAAATAATTTAATTTAATGATTAATATTATGAAAACAACTAGTAGTACGTCGCATCACTTCTGACATTACATTAGCATAAATTTGCATAATAATTACAGGAATATAAGTAAAGTGAGCATTTAATATGATAATTGTTTAAATTCATTTATATAATTTACACTTTCTTTTAGCTAAATTTTCTTCCCTTCGCTTGTCATCAATCGACGCTCATAATACAATGACAATAAATACGCCCATTGCATGTAATTAATATAAAACTAACATTCTTCGTAATCTATATTCTCTCTTTGTCACTATATTTACTTATCTATATATTTCTGCAAGAACCCAAATAGTAAGAAAAAGGTCATTAAAAAGAATTATAAATTAATTTAACTAAAAATATTTATTTAACTAATCTTCAATATTTATGTTTAAATATAAATCAATGCTTCGTTTGTTTTGATTAACTGCAGATTATTTTAACACTTTACTATGTAAAACTAGTTGTTTTTTAGATAAAAAAAAATATTAAATACTACTAATGATCTTCATGGATTTATAGTAAAATAATACTAATAAATTCAGCGGTAGATCGTTAAATAATACTAGTGATCTTTTCGGTAGATCACTAAATAATACTAGTGATCTTTATTTGTTCGCAGCGCCGCTCTTTATGTAGTCCCTAAAAAAAAAAACTTACTGGTTCCATAGAAAATGAGAGCCACAGTACATTTTTTTATATATCGTAATGTTAAAAGAATTGTTAACAATTGTTAATAATTTCTGCGTGAATTTTTATGATCATGTATAAATATAAGCGTATAATTCTTATTTTATAATAATATAGATGTAAATAATAAATGAATTGAATTATCGAATAGGAAAAGAATGATTGTAGCATATAATAAATATATAAGAAAAATTGTTTTATTATAAAGATTGTTTAACAAATGTAAGTATAAGATATCTTCTGACATTTTCAAATCAATAACATGATTCATGGTAATGAAAATGGATTATGATGATTTTCCCTTTTTTCTTCAAATTATTTAGCAACATTTATTGTAAAGTAATTAAAATGTCAAATGAAAGTTCTGAAATAAAGCTAATGAATTCGAACGATGATGGAGAAAAATTTGATGCAAAATATAAGCCATGGAATTATCCTGATTCATCATCTAACACTCATCCCAATCAAATTAGAAATTGTTGTTCTCCAATTGATGAAATTGAAGATTTGGTAAATACTATAAAAATAAAAAAAATTTAAGGATATATCATATTTAAATTTTTAAAGACTCGAATATTACTACAATAGGCAAAAGAAGATAAAAATTTATATACGACTCATAATGATGAAGTTCAAGCAGATAAATCAACATTCTCAATGTTGAAACAAAATGAAAATATTGATAATAATAGTAAAAAAAGTAGTAATCGTATAACCAATAGCAAGGAAATGCAAAATGACAAGCAAGTAAATTATTTGGACAAGTCAAATTTAAGATATCGAATAAATGAATTTGAAAGCATAAAACAAATTGAAAATTACCAACAAGAGAAGATGGCAGAAAAATTACCTATCAACATAAATAGTCCAGAAATATTCAATAAATATGTTGAAACAGATTTGGATCAACCTATGGATTATACGCTTTGCTATGATGAAAATAAGTCTGATGAAGAGAAAAAAGGAAGCGCAACATTCTTCCCTAAAAATGGTAACTGACATTGATATTAATATTTTGTTAACAATAATATATAAATGATCTTATGTGCATTATTTTATAAAAATCAAATTGAAATTAAAATGTAGAAAAAGAATGTAGAAAATTTTTTCTATAGATTTCTTATGTATTGAGGAGACAATTGAAGAGGATAAAATCCAAACCATTAAACCAAAAGGGGGTATGAATAAGGAACCAACAAGAAATAAGAAAGAAATGTTCAGCAATACTAGCAGAAGTTTTAAAGAAATTTTTAATTTCTTTAAAGATCGTGATAAAAAAAGAACAGCTATCGACAATACCAAAATTTCAGCTCTGGATGGATCCAAATTACTCAAAAATGCAGAAATTTATGAGCAAAAAGTAGAAAAGTCACCTCAACCACAAGTAGAACATTGTGAAAGAGATTCAAAATTAAGAAATGACATTCAATGTTCTCAACAAACTCCATTAATGTTCTCCCGGTGTAGTTCCTTAGGCTCGCTCAATGGATTAGAGCAAAACTCGACAAACGATGATCGTAGTTCAGTCATAAGTGATGTCAGTCATAGGACCAGTGGCATTATTTCTCCTAGTGAACTTCCAGATTCCCCAGCACAAGCTATTCCGCCTAACATAAGATTACAACCAAAATCTCAAGCTAATAGCTTTGTAAAGAAAAAAATTCAGATACAAAATGACAAACTGAAAGTATAGTCTTTTACATTTATTTATTGTTTAGACTAATTTAAATATAGTTCGTAACAATATCTTTAAATTCAAATGATGCAACACTTTATTTGCAATATTAAAAAATATATGGCATGACCGATAGTAATAACGAATGTTAATCATTTTATTGTATATTTCTAAATAACCAATAATATTTTAAAATATTTTAACAAAAAAAAAACGTAACTATTTGAAAGTTCAATATTTGCATATAAAATAACTTGAAATTTATCTTTCAGATTTATCAACATTCAATAATATCCAATGACAGTTCGCTGCTACATCAAGAGAACACTTGTAAAAAGTCTCTAATGACAAAGGGGAGTGTTTTTGAAGATAATATTACTTCATTTAAAGATGAATCTACACCAACTAAGCTTCATTCGGTAGCAGCAAGCAGTCTAAGTTCCTTAACAATTGACGACGATGACGACTATGAATTAATAAACAAACTTACTAACAAGGAAAAACAGAGTATTACTGAAGAGGCAGAAATTGAAAATAGCATAGAAGAGCCAATCGAAGAATCTAATCACCTAGTCAAACCTTCAATGGAGGCAGAGAAAAGTGAAAGCGAATCTCATGAAATAGATGAAGATTTCATTAGAGAGCAAGACGATGAACTAACTGACTTAACGTCGCACGAAGAACAGCTACTCGATCAATGTATACGTAGAGGTATAGCAAAATGGACAAAGCAAAGCATCAATGATATTAAACCCTTTAGTTGGGACGTTGGATTAACTTGTCGTGCAACAAGAGCTATGATAATAAGCAGAATTAGAATAAATTCTGACACGGATATCTACAATCATATTGATGATAAACAAGAAAACTATCAAGGAAATAAATTAACTAATAATAAATTAAATTTAAAACAGAAATTTCAAAATGAAATTGAAGAATGTAAAAATTATAATGGAAAATATTCAAATGAAGACTCGGATGCAATCGAATCACTATCAAATCTAAAAGAAACCTCTGATCAGTTTCATAAAAATTCTTATTATATTACTTACGAAGAGCATCTCCTTGATCAATGTATTCGAAGAGGAATGGCTAAAATTACAAAAAGGAATGTAAATGATATTAAACCATTTAGTTGGGACGCGCATCAAATTTGCCTGACAACTAGAGCAATGATGTTACATAGTCGCGATGGGGATTTTCACACAAGTCATTGAATTATTTAAATTTTTTTAATTTATAAAACCCAATGACACTTAATTATCGCTTTGCTTAAAAAGAAAAAAAAAAAAAAAACGTATACTATAAATCAAGTTACATAAAAATTAAAAGTTTAAATAGACAATAAATAAAAAAATGTCTAGCTTTATATATAACAGTATTAATACGTGGCTTAAAGTACCTTTTTTGTGTCTGTTGCACCCGTCAATTATTATATATTTAAATTTTGAGTCTAATAGAATCATTAATTAATGTAATGATTAATAATCTTTTTATTAAAATATTTTTAAATCAACAGAAAACCAAAATAACTTTTATCAAGAAATAAAATATAATTTTTAATTTCTCACAAATTACTAATATTCTAATATGAATTATAATAAAAAAAAAAAGTAAAATACATTAAATAAGAGGTTAAAACAAAGTTGGATGAAAATGCATTGTTGCATAAAATAGCATTTTATATTTTAAAATATTTAACATCACATTTAATAGTATATATATACACACACACACACACACACACACACACATATATATTTATGGAAATTAATTTCATAATTATTGTTATTCATTAATTTATAAATTGGTCTTTCAATATTCTTTTCAATAACAAATAACAATTATTTAAGTTTAAGATATTATAAGGTTAAAGACTTAATTTATAAATAATGGTATATTTTTTCTCTAAGCAAATATATTAATATAAATATTGTAATGAATAAAATTATAATACATGTGATGTAGACAAAATATTCAATTATGAAACGATTTGAATGTAAAAAATAATTTAACATACGGATTTCAGACTCAATGTAAGACTGATTGTTATGTGCTACAAAGTGAAATCTGTTGGAAAACCGAAGTTTGCATAATTAGAATGAAATAAAATAAAATTGCTTTATATAGTTATTTTCATTAGATAAATATATTTTTCGCATATTTTTGATATACATACTTTTTTTTAAATAGAATAAGATAAAATATAATAAACATTAAGTACTTTTCTAATATTATTTGTTCTATGCATGCAAACTTCATTTATAATTTTAAGGTACAATATACATGCATGTGTGCGCGCGAGCACGCACGCAAATATATATATATATATATATATATATATATATGTGTATATATAATATAATAATTATAAGAAAATCACTTGTTGGAATGATATAAAACCATGAAATGGTATTGCTTACAAATTAAAAGTGCCTCTATAATTCATCAGACACTGTTTGTTATTTATACATTTGAAGAAAAAATATTGCTAAGCAATAATTATATAGTTTATTGTAACGAATATATAACAAATATAACAAAAATATATTTAAATAAAATTTCATGAAAATATTTTTTATTAAATAAAGCCAAATTTTTTAAAGAATAAATTTATATTTTTTCCAGGATACTTGTTTATAATACAATGAAATTGTCTATTCATAATTTTAGTTCTTACATTTATTTTATAGTGGTAATGAACATATAAATTAATTAGTAATATTTTGTTGTAAAACATAATACATCTGATGCTGATATTCTTCTTTTATTCAATTTAATACTAAAGTTGTAATTCAGATTTTCATTATCAGCTATAAATATTTTACTTCTCATTCTTTTAATTTGTATATTACTTAATTATAATGAAATACAAAATTTTAGTATTATAAAAGAACATATTCGCGTACAGTCATATAAACTAGATTTAATAATTGTACTTCATTTATGTAAAATACATCTTAATAATTAACATTATTTTACAAAATCTACCGAATGTTTTCAAATATATTGTTTAACACACATTCATTTATAATAAATGAAGCAGTTTCTAAACACTATTATTATAAGCCTTACGATAGACTTAAATCTATAATACTAATAGAGAAAGTCATGGAGTAAACAAAATTTATGAAATATACAATCGACCAATTTCTATATAAAGTCGACATTATAATAACAATATCACAAAACAAATATAAAAAGAAATCTCTTATTGTCATACTCCATGACAAAGGATATATACACTTTGCATTTATGCTACTTGATATTATTAGATTTCATTCTCTAACAATAGAATATATCAGGTATTTTATACATTTTACAAAATTAAGATGTCAAAGGAGACATTCCAATTGTTCTTGGATCTTGCTGACCTGGTTGAGTCTGTGGAACTTGTTGTGGACCTGCTTCCAAATTTTTCAGTAACTGATTAAGCCAGTGTTCAGTCGATATATCTTCCTGTAGACAAGTAGCAAAAGTATTGTCCCTCAATTGATCCGGTAAGCATTGTCTCAATGCTAATAGAGCTCTAATAATGAATGCAAAAGTAAAAAAAAATTAATGATATATAGTTGTCCGAACAATAAACAACGAGGTATATTTATTGAGGTAATGTTTTAACTCACCGAGGATTATCGGATAACCTTAAATAACATCTGACAACATGTTTCAAGAGACGAGCTGACGGATCTTTAGCTAAAGAGAGTACCATTTTACCAAGTATCATTGCCACGTGACTGAATCTATCATATGTCTGACATATATATGATAAGCCACTATCATCGAGTAAGATTTTTTGAAGTATAAAAGTAGCCACTGTTTTACTTAGCTCTGAACCACTTTCCATTATTCGCAAGCATAATGGAATGATCTCGGTTGTTAAGAGAAATGTAACAACTTCTTGTTCATCCGTCTTTACTAATGCTCCAATTACTCCTAAGCTTGTTAATCGAAGATATTCGAACGGTCTCGTTTTATTTACAGTATGAAGAAACGGGTACAGGAACAAAGGAATATGTGCCTAAAAAAGCACAATAATTCATTAATTAAATTACACCATTTTCTCATATACATATATATATATATATATATATATATATATATATATATATATATTTATATTTCTTAATATCACTAATTTAATATAGAATTATGAATAAAAGTCGCTAATTTGATAATAAATTAATTTCGTTTAAAAATAAATAATTATAAAAATAGTGACAAGGCTTCGATAAATTAAATCGATAAATCTTTTATTATCCATTATTATAAAATAAAGTCTTATAGTCTTTGATGCTACAAATATGAATATGTTGTCTGCATTCCAAAGCATAAAACTGGCAGATTAAAATTAAATTTATAAAATTATAAATATTATTAAATATATAACATAAGATGTAGAGTAACAAAAATATATTATATCGATAAATTAAAAAGGAACCAATGACTTTTGAGTAGAATTAGTGCGAGAATAATTTGTAAACTAAACATTTAAGAAATTAAACAATTGTCAAAAGTTGACAGACAATTATATTAAAATAATGAACATTAATGTTATACGAATAAATGGGAAATGTATGTAAATACTACTAGCAAAATAATGAAATCATTCTACAATTGATGTTCAAATTTTCATAGTGTAGTAAATAAACCGAGGCCATTAATATTTTATATTAATTTTATAGCAGTAAAGTAAAAGATAAATGCTGAGAAAAATGTTAAATAGAGTACTCACTTGGAGAAAAGCAGATCTAGTTTCGGGATGACTAGCGAAACACTGAAGCAATGCCAAAGCATTACAGACTCGATTGCTTTGATGAGCTGTAAGAGTTGCCGGATTGATAGCTGGATAAATATTAATTATTTCCTGAAGTAGGGAAGAAACGGTGCCGAAGGAGTGCCAGAGCATAGGTGCCAAATCCGGCACGACCTCGCGTTTTTTACTTAACTCGAGCAACGCATTTTGTCGTGTTTCTGGATTGGACAGCTCAATTATCCAAGTGTAAACTTTTTCGCGGTCGATGGTCGCCTGAAGGGCCGCCGGACTCTGCTGCGAGCTCATTTTTCTGGTTCTGTTAAAACCTCGTTTACGACTTCCTAGGCTTGATTTTTCCCCTACTTACTTTGTCTCTAGTCTTCGATAGCTCAACTAGATCCAAACAAGCACATGCATAACGCAAAAGAGAATTACTTGCCGACTTGTAAATGACGTCACACCATAATCGTAACCTAAAAGTTCAGTAAAAGGAATAATGTAAGTATTGTAGGTTAACTATCAAATTATTTCGTCTTCCAATGAAAAATGACATTTTCCTTCCCGATTTAATAACGTTATACGTTTAATACCCGCGTATTTTAGGTTTCATCGCGTATTCTTAGAATAGAACGGTCGCGTAATATACGAGTAACCATAATAGTAAAAAACCCTTTTATATGATTACAATTTTAATTTTCAATTTTTTTTTTTTTTTTTTTTTTTTTTTTTTTTTTTTCTTAACGACGTTTACTTAAGATATACTTTGCGATAAATTAAAGCAATATATTACTTATTAAATATTATTTACAATGCAATATGACATTTTATTCCATTTTAAATTGTTTTAATATACGAGTTTTAACGGAAAATTAGAAGTCAAATGAATTTTGTTAGACTGTCTTTTTTTTTAGGATACCCCTATATGTAATTTTTCATTTACCAAATAAGAATATTGTTCACCTTATGTTGTTAATGCAATGAGTATATTAATAGATAATTTTTTACTCGTACTTGATATTTTTCAGAAACCAATAATTTAATCCGAATAATATTCTAAGTAATATTCTAAGGTTGTAGAAAGAGCAATAAATTTCAAATCTCATTAATTTCTGGAGGTAAAAATTATAAAAATAATCATATACCAGCAACATTGTGTTAATAATTTAATTTATGTTACTTCTACAGTCACATAAACATAATACAAAGACACAATAAACAATACCTTTATATAGACATCAAATTTTATAAAAATATTTTCACTTTTTACTGTATTCTTTCTTTACCATTTTTTGATTTTCCTTTTTGTTTTTAATGGTAAGCTTCGATTGGTGAACTATTAACTTACGTCAAGAGATATGAATTCTATGATAACTACAAGCATTAAATCTAAAACGCTTAAGTATACACAGACACAAACACTCGTTTCTGCAAACTTTGAAATGTACTCTTTTAATTTTATCGTAATGTATTTAAATAATTTTGATTTTAATATTCCGACCTATTAAATAGGTAGTGTTAAAGTCGAGCAGTATTCGAGAAAAATATTTATTTTAATCCCTAAATTATTCGACAACAGTAGAGACTGTTCATTAAAATGAATTTCATATTCTTCCATTTTTTTTTTTTTTTTACGAATAACAAAAGCAGAATTATCAATAAAATATTGTTTATCAGACTAATATGGATGCATATTGAATTATACTGTTTTATTATATAAATGTTACACGATAAACCAAGTAATTGTGAAAATAAATTTGTTTGATTATCAATATTCTGTCAACAATTCAAACTTTATAACTCGAATATCTTCATTACTTGTATAAAATATCGATAATTTATTTATTTTTAATAATAAACTAATCTTTAAGAATCGTGAGTTAGTGTCTAAATAGGTCTAAATCTATAAATAAATAAATAAATATATATATATATTCCATTTCTTTGTATATAATTCTATATTATTAGAATTCTTCTATAAAATTATAAAGTCAAATTTAATTCAAAATTTAGTAAAAACTGTTATAACAAATATGGGCTTGGTTTAGAAAAAAATTTTTTCTCCCCGCACATATCAAATATAGATTTTAAATATTTTAGTAATATAAGTTTAGTAATCAAATTGAATCGAAATGTTTTAATGTGAACGTAATTTATTTTTCCATTTTCGTTTTATTTACGTTTTGATACTTAATTCTGTATTGCAATATGGCGATAGTAAATTTAGTGTATGTATCATTTTTATTTTGACAAACGATCTGTCTATCATTTATTAATTTTTGTTATTTATAAAATACTTATTCAAATACAGCATATAATTTCACATATATTGCTTACAGAATACATATTATTTTAATTGTATATAGTATGAGGACGGAAAATGAAAGTGAAAATATAAAAAAAATTATTTATTGAATTATTACAAATTATAAAAAGTTATAAATAAATACATTATTGTTAATCGTACGATTTTCAAGAACAGTTTGAACAATTTTATGTAATTAAGTTCATAGAAAAATTGTTCAAAATTAAAATCAATCAAATAACAGTCACGAAATATAACTGAATTTAAAAATTATATATAATGGGTTAAATATTTTACAAGAAAGCTTATTTTTTATATGGAAGCAGAGTATTAACTGAAAATACATATTCTTTAAACAATAATTAGGCCCTAATAATAAAGTAAGCATATATAACTATATTATACATAAGAAAATAATAATTAATAGACGCAATCCTCTTTCAGTTGAAATACAAATTAAAATAATTGTAGTATTTATTGTAGCATAAAATTTATTTATAAATTTTCTTTTAAACCAATTGCAATTCGGAAGTGCAATAATATTTGAAGTAATAAAAGTGGACATTTAGAATCGAAAAATTAATTGTAATTTATCGAGTAGCATAAATTGTTATATGTTTAAAAAATATGTAGATCAAATGTTTAAATTTATCACAATTATCAATCTACATATTATCATATATGTTTTATATATAATTATATTATTTTTAATTTATTACGTGTGTTGTATGAGATAATAAAACTACCAATTCCTTTTCACTATTCATTGTTTCAAAAAATATCTTAATTTTAAATAAAAATATTTGACTGTATATATATTAGCTACTGATATCTGATTTTAATTCTACAAATGAAATAAACTTACCACGTATGTAAAAGTATTGTCTTCACAATCGATGTTAAAGATGATACAAAAATGATAAATTCTGAATCATGTAGTAAAAAATTATTAAATAGTAATTATAGTAAATATTATTTTATTAAACTACCAAAATATAAATGTTTATGGGTAATATTTTTAATTTCGTTACAATAACTTTATAAAATATCGTTTCGTTTTCAAAAATTTTTACAATAATCATATATAAAATTTATTATAAACACAACATTTATTTCAATTACACGTATTTCATACAAATTCATAAAAGTTAAGAAAAGAACTGCATTTACAGCGCAATATACATAAATAATATGTAGTACTTTATGTTATATTAAATTAATAATCCTTTCAAATGCCTATTTTACACATTCTTTAATTTTTTACGCTGCTTATTTTCTTATAAAAAACTTTATTTATCCATAAATTTAATCAGCATAAAAGTAGTTTTTAAATATAAAAATCTAAATAACTATTATATATATATATATATATATATATATATATATATATATATATATTAAGTTTATATAATACGTATATAAACACAAATGTATAATAAATAGAATAAGTCCCATATCAAATATTTAAAAATGAAAAAAATCATTGTAGTTAAAGTAGTTGTAAAAAAAAAAAAAAAAATATATATATATATATATATATATATATATATGGTTCAATATGCAGATGAATAAAACAAATATATTTAATATTTTCACTTAAAATTAAAATATGTTAATGTTTATATTGATTAACAAATCAATGACGAGAAGGATGAAAATGATAACAATATAAATGATGATAATTACAATTTTAATGATAATAATATCAATATATTTTCATTATATAATAAACGCACAAGTATTATTCAAATTAAAAACAGAACTATTTCAACAATGCTATACTATTGTAATATTTACAGTAATGAAGTATTTGCTTATGGCTTCTTTTTGAATATTTTATTTGCGCATTTCAAGGTATAAAGTTCTAGGATTATTAAGCAAAATTAGCAGTTTTCATTGTCAATCCAATCGATCAATTAAAATCACACATAAACAAATATTTATTAAATTAATACGGACTTAATCGTAGGAATTATTGTGCTTATAAATGTTTATTAGTAGTATACATTGCGTAACAATGACAATTTTAAATAATCGACTACTAATCGTATAATTTATTCATGTTATTCTGTACTAAAATTAATATCAATACAAATATTTACATTGCCTTAGACGACTCAATATCCATTGACGAGTGAAACAATCATTCAATAACATCAATTGTTAATTCATAAAAGCGTCTGTCAGAGTAAGTTATTTACTTTCCTTATAGCACGGCATATCTGGAACTATTTCACAAGTAAAATAGCACATTATTAAATGACACCTATATTTTGTTTCATATATTCAATAATCTGTTTATAATATTTAATATCTCTCTTACCACGTATGCACAGGTAGCATATTATTATCGTAGATTTACGCAAAAAGATCAGTTTTCGAGGTGATCTTCTTAATAGTTGGTAATATACGTATGGCTGTGTATTGTCCGTAGCCAAGAGGTAATCTGAGGTCGGCATTTTCGTGACTTTCCATGTCCAATGCGTCTTGGCGCTTTTGCTGTAAAATCATCAGAAATCGCACAAGGGACCAACAAATAGTCCCTGCTCCTCCGATAGCCAGACAAATGATAAACATTACTTGCACTACAGGCATTATGACGACAGCAAACTTTATGAGAAAGGCTAAATCGTCCGGTAAGGATGTGACTACCTGTTAAAGTTAACGAAGACCTGGCTTTTAAGGTTCTTACATAACGTCAAGAATTTTTTCTAATATCAATCAGCATAAAAGTCTATAATGGGCCCTATACTCTTGTATTTTAGAATACTGCATAATCATGCATTGGATATAATTTGTATTTGACAATTGTGCAATAATCATATATTATAAATAATTATTAGAAAAATGCTTAATACTGCCCTTATAAAAATTCACATTTTAATAAATTAAATATTAATAAGATATGACTTATGTTAATTTAAATAATTTTGAGTACATTAGAATTTCAAATAAAATATATATTTTCGTAATATGTTTTTTCATGAATAATCAGCAACATAATTTTATGTATGAGTTTGATAATTAAAATTCATTGATAAAATAATTCTTTAGATGAAGAGACATTGAAAATAAAATTAATATTGCCATAATTTTATAAATTTCGTACTTACAAGATCAGTCCAGAAAAGTGGTACGGTTAAGCTATTAAAAGGTTTGATCTTAGAGTTGTATACCGTTTCTTTCATTATAAGATTTGTTTGCAGTCTCGAGTGTACATACATCGGAATTCCAATGTTCTGTGAAAATAATGAATTTTTTTTTTATTCATTATAAATTCAGATATATAATGAATGCGAGTTCACATCAGGCACATTAAAATTTTTATTACGTAATAACAGATATTATACACCTTTTATATTCTCATCAAATTCAAATTTGGTGATATTTTGATAAATATAATAAGGAAATTATTATTATTATTATTATTATTATTTATAAATCAATACAAAATTTGTGCTAATAAATAATTTTTCTAAAAAAAAATTTTTTTTTTTTTTTTTTTTTTTTTTTTAAGAATTACTAAATTTATGTAAATTAATACCGGCTGTATAATGATTATGCTTGAATGTTTCTTTGGATCGGGATTCAGTCCTTCTATACCATCGTATAACGATGGATCAGCATCGAGGAAATGAGGCAAAGAGGCTGCTGTTGGTATCTCTGAAAACAATTTATATTTTTTTCTTTCTTTTTTTTTGTAAATTTATAGATTTATTAAAATCATTTAGGCACTAAAGATTTTAACTCAAGAATTTTGTGAGTACTGAAGAATGAAATATGTAATTAGGCTTCTTTCATAGATATGAGAATAATAATATATACTGACTATAGTAACATGGCGTCAAGTTCATTAATCCCTTTTTCATACATTCTCCTTTGAAGCAGTAACACGCATTATCTGGATTTAATTCCGGTGGATCGGCAAAGTCCGCAGATAAAGTATATTGATATCCTAGTAAGCCTTCCCAATTTACCTCCTTTACAAAAACTATAGGCATAGGTCGACAAAAGGCTTTTCGATAAACTCGAAATACTGCCTTAGAATCTAGTTGGGAGGGGAAAATTGTGCCTTCTGTCACTCCGCGTATCTGATTGCATTTTGTATTTCTGTGAAATATTGAAAATAGAATTTTCAATAAATATTTCGATGAGCTAATAATGTGTGTGCGTAAGCGAATATATTTGTGTATTACGAATAATTAAATGTTGTGGGTGACTTTTGTTTAAATTATTATTTATAGAAAAAAGTAACTAACTCAGGCCGTGTTTCATTTCCTTCAATTTGCACGTATCCCCAATGAGATAATCCTGGACTGCCATTAATTGATTCGATACTCAAGTATCTATTCTCTTCGTTAATCATATCGTTGTTATTGTTAATATTCATATTTAAAAGATTTTCTCCTTCGTCATATATCTAAAAATTCAATAAATCACCATTATTACTCTTACATTTTATCAATATATTCTTAATATAAAAAACAAAAAAAAAAAAAACGACAACATTAAATTAAATAAAAGTTTCTATTTATACATTTATATTACGTATGTTTTTTAGTGTTTTCCTCGCGTGTTTTGTTTATGTCTTTATATATATTTAACTTTATAAGTAAATTAATTTTTACATGCGATTTTTATTTATTGTTTCGTAATCTACCTTTTATAACGAAGAAATATTATAATTTAGAAAGATTAATTTGATTAGCAGCTTTCAATTTATTAAATTACAGGTTTCATCGGTGATTTGTTTAAAAAAAATTATTATTCAATTATTAATCAATTTGTAAATTGTAGAAATATATCCGTATAAGTAAGTATATTAACTATTAATTTCATGTCATATATATATATATATATATATATATCCTTAATAAAACATTGTATAAAAGAAAAAACTAGCAGGTGAAGAAACTTGCAAATAGCGTATAAAAGCATGAATAATAATAATAATAATAATAATGTAATGGTTATTTTAAATACATAAAAACAAAAGGTGTAAAAACAGCGAATCAAGGTCCTTTTTTTAATAATGTATTTTCCGAATGAATAATATTGTCAATCAAATTATAATTGAAAATCATTTAATGACTGTTTATATCATCAACTTTACCTTTTATGTAGTTGAACTTGTAAATTTAATGATAATAGGCGTGTGTTATTATCATTAGAAGCACCAGAAAATTAAAGAATAAAAGTTGTTATTCGCACAATTTAATTAAAATACTTGAAGTATTAGTATCTTACATTATAATGATAAAAAAACTTACTCTATCTAGTAGACCGAACTTATGGAAATTGATGTAACTGGGGACGACAGAGCCAGCCAATTGAACTAATCGATCATCATAACCCCATAGATAATCGTAAAGAGTGACGTTTAATATAGGTTCACTACCTAAATAACTAGCTAATTGGCTAAATGAGTAATTTATAAAAAAACCAGACTTGTACAAAGCTGAAGAAATTCCCTGAAAAGCAAGATGATTATCTTTTATTAAAAATATTAGGTTTTCCATCTACTTTTATCTACTTTAATAACAGTATTATTAAAGTATATTTCTATGTGTATGAACACACATATGGGTGAACGTATAAATTTTGCTTTCCTGTATAAAATAGATTTCTACATATAATAATTGATATAGAAATAACTAATTTATGAAATAAGATAAACGTATTACAACTCTATATATTTGAATATATTCCAAGTATAAAAGTATCCTTTTGATTTATTCAATATAATATATAACACCTACACAACTGCGTGTAATATATTCATAATAAGTAATTAAAAAAAAAATTCTAATTTTGTCATACGCATTGAATTATATTTATTTTATTTAATTTCTTTTTTGCAAAAAAAAAAAGAAATTGTTAAAATGTAAAACTCACAAGTCCATATATCTATGAATTGATAATTTAACATTCAATATTAACTCGTAATTATTTATTTTAACTATTTCTGTAAATCCAAGAGCTTTTACACATTTATCTTCTAAAGTATTTTTATAAAATAACATTAATATGTTGTTTTGTATGTGATAAATTATTGATAATGTCATATGCAATTAGAAGTTAAAAGAAAATCGAATTGAGCTTAATGTAACGCTTGAAAAACTAAGAACATTATTTTAATAATTAACTATGGCCTTTTTACGAACAATAAAAATTTACTACCTCCTACTTAATATCCCTATCAATTAAATTCATTTGCCTATAAAATGCCAATAAAAATGGATCGAACAACATTAACAAAATTGTAATTTTTTTACTCACAAGCATGGGGATATTTGGCACAGTAACATAATCTTTTTCAGGTTGTCCAACTGATAAATCTGGCCTGAAAATTAGCGTTCGCTTCGGAACATATGATATCGTATTGTTATCGTTCCATGTTATATTTCCATTCTCTAAAAACTCCCTATGGAGAGGAAATTTTTATAATGTTAGCTCATTATATTATTCGTATTTGTTTATATTAATTTTTATCCCTTCAATTAATTATCATCGAGCTTCCCTATTACTACGGATTATAACTTTGTAATTTCTATTCACTATTGTTTACCAATTAATTAAAAATCATTATCATTGATATTTATAATTTCATATGAGAATTAATAATTTATTGATTTACATATAACTTTATATACACAGCCATAAGTTCAAATGTCATTTAGATTATTTATTACATTAAATTTGTAGTGAATTAGATAATAAAGATGATAAACATAAAAACATAACATAATTACTATAGATTAATAAAAACAATAATCTGAATATATTTTTAGATTTTTGATTTTTGAAAATGATGAAAGTGATAAAATTTCGATTAATTTGATAAGATTTAATATAATTTATGTAAATATTGATATAATTAATATTATTGGTGCCGTTGTATGTCAAGCTACTAATAAAATTTAAATAAAATTAAATTTCAAAACAATACAAATTTAAACTATTGTAAATTTTCTTTTATTGAAATTATAATAAATTTGAAAGACCAATGGCAAATTTTATATATACGCGTGTGCAAATAAGTTGGATTATTGAAATATTTAGGAAGTTCGAGTCTCGCGGAACTTGTAAGTTACTCTATATACAGGAAGCTTCTTACTGGTAGACATAAGGGCCGATTTCTTCTACTTTAAGTTTCTCTTCTCCATTTTGAAAAGCTTCGGCATTTGTAATATTAAATATATATACGTAGAAGAAAATATCAAGAGGTGGTTTCATCCAAAGCGTAAAAGCTAATGATCCAGGCGCCATTCTAAGTTTCTGGATAGAGAAAATGAGTCAACATATCAACATTGATTAGCAATTTTAAATTATCCATTAAGCAACCATCGTTCTTAATAATATCTATATCACTAACCATGCGAACTTAATTACGTATTATAAATTAATGATTATATTTTACTATGGATCAAATAAATAAATGTCATTCGTTAAAAATGCAATCCATTGATGGTATTAAAATGTATATCTGGCACATTAATTTTTTTTTTTTTTTTTTTTTTTTTTGTCAATATTTTCACCTTTTTTTTTTTTTTATTTTTTTTTTTTTTTTTTTTTTTTTTTTTTTTTTTTTTTTTTATTTTTTTTTTTTTTTTTTTTTTTTTTTGTCAATATTTTCACCAATATTTCAATATTTATCTGCTTTATTTATGCAATCTTTATTTCCTCTTCAATTTCATATCTTTAAAGATATGACATCAATTACAATTCCAATGAAATAAAAATTAACTTAAATAAAATGAATATTGATAAAAGCTTTACTATTGTATCTAAATGTTCTTTTTAGAAAAATTACTTTTCATAATTTTAAGACTTTATTTTTTAACAAATTACTTTAGTTACTTTGCCGATCTTTTATTTTCAATTACTTTTCCTTTTAGTGAACCCGAGTAAATGTTATCTATTTACTTACTTTATTTTATTAATTATTTATAACATATTAATTTGTATATATTATTAAAATATTATGCAATGTATTGCACACATAATTTCAGAAATGAATATTTCAATTAAATTTGTTTACTTTCTTAAGTTAATTGAAAAATTAATACTTTAAAATATAATTTTAAAAGTTTATTACACATCTTTCAATTATAGTGGTGATATCATTACTGGACGAAATTCCTTAATCAATATGAAGATAAAAAAGATTGAAACAAATTTTTAAAAAACGTAGTAATCGCACTTACAGATGCTAGCACCGTTTTCACTGGATCAATTAAAAAAATTATTAATGCTGAAATACTGCAAATAGTTCCCACAATCAATAAAACAATACATTCTGAAACAAACAATAAATTTCTGTAAAATTCTGGATACTTAATATTTTGAACTATTTTACTCAATATTTTGGAATTCGGCTACGAAAAATTATTTTTATTCAGCACTTAAAAGCTAATACATCAAATATATTGTTATAACTGTTAACAAATTTTTCGATCTTATGTATAGTAAATTGGTACATGAAGTTTCTAAATATTAATTTTTTCTATCCATATATATATATATAGACATTATTATTTTACTTTTTAAGAACCCTATATCTAACCTTTTCATTTATAAAAAATAATGCTGTAATTATACTTTAATTAATATATTATTAATAGAAAAAAAATCATCTTGATTTGATTTATTTATTTAGTGAATTTTTCGAAAACGTATTTATTAATTATATAATATATATTGAAATAGTCATTTAATTCAACATTTAAATTTTCAGAGCTTTTATTTAAATTCTTTCTCTTTTCTTTTTTTTAATATTATTTTGTTTAAAATTACATGCGAACTTTTTATATATTTAATTAATTCCATATAAATGAACATGCACTTAAGATCATTTTGTTACAAACATAATATGTTAATTTTCAAAAGAAAATAAATTAGAGTTATCGCAATTTACATAAACATCCGTAAACTAAATATATATATATATATATATATATACATATTTCATTTATAAATATGAAAAATTACATTAAGTTACATTTAGAAATTTAATGAGAATAATTTAATTCAAGCATTCATATTTTAAGAGAATTTCAGCAACAGATTAGTTACTACGTATTAAAAAACTTAAACTAATAGCTTTTTATGATACAATTTTTGATTATTATAAGCATTTTAAAGGATTTTAAATATATTGTTACGGGTACGTAAAAAATTTTACCGTAATACAATTTTATTGTAATTAATTAATAATTTTGTTAATTAATATGTTACCTAATGTAAATGCCCGTATATAGAAGCACAACGATTAATCAACTGCATACATTACCGAATTAATAAGATATTACTTTAAGTAAATGTAAATGATATAAATTAAAATTAAATATACGCTAAAAGTAATATTTATGTAATATAACATAAATTGAAAGTAAAAAATTAAAATTAATTATAATCAATTATGAGGGGGCATGAATTAATCAACATGAATTGAAATATGTTCGTACTTCTGTTGAGTGATATAAACAAACGTTAAAGCGGGTAGAATATATCTCATGAGATATATATAAAATATTTTTTTAATTTTAATATGAAGGACAATGAACTTCATATAATTTATTCGACTTATAATTATTAATAGTTTATGGCTATATAATTTTAGATAATGAGCTTTAAATTTTTTCTTCTACATTATTAAATATTAGGATGTTTCGTTATTTTGGGTAATCTGTGCGCGCGTGTGTGCGTGCGTGCGTGTGTGCGTGCGTGCGTGTGTGTGTGCGCGTTACTTTTTTGTTAGTATTATGTAAGATTTTAAAATTTGTTTATAATTTAATATCCTTGTTAATTATAATAAACTTTTAAGATTTAGAATGTTCGATAAATACCGTGATATTTCTTTTTTTATATCTTGCTCATTTTCATGTGCAATTAAAAGCAATTTTAGGAATGGTTAAGTGAGAAAAAGCTACTGCAATGCCTTGAACTTTTATTATCGTGAATGATTATTGTGCCGTGATGGCCGTTTTGTCAGCTCGACGAAATTGATGAAACAAAATGTGACTGGAGCTTAATTGAATAGATATCGCTGTATCTAAATGTAAATTAGCTCACCTTGACTCGAATGTCAAATTTACTGCGCACATTTGAGAAAATAGTGTCAGACAGCGAATAAATAATCTATTAACAATTTAAGAGATTATGTGTCGGCTAATATCACCAGTTAACTAATAATTATATCATAAATTTTCAAAAATTTTATCAAATAAATGTAATGATATTTAACACACTAACACGCACACACGACAAACTATGTATATATACATAATTTTAAAAATATGTATTTTATTTTTTATATTAGAGAATCAAACTTGTAAATTATATTTTTATTTTTTAATATGTACGTATAATGATGTGAAGTTAAATTGACGATAGAACGATTATGTATGAACAATAATTGAAAAATATTATTTTAATACATATTAACATTTTTAAATGCTTTGATAGCCGTATTGTAATGGCATGAAGAAACATACATTTTTATAATGAACTGGTAAAATAGCTTGGATAATTGAGATGAAATAATTGACTAACGGTAAGAGAACAGAAAAGCGAGCTAGGAAAATCTAGTGAAGAAAACATAATTTGCTTAAAATTGTCTTGGTGAATTATGAATGGATTTTTATGTAGAAGAATAACATTTTTTCATTGTATATTTTTACCTTTTATTTTCTTTATATTATATACAAAACTTTTAATCGTATTCGCAATCATTATTACTAAATACTTACACAAAAAAACATGCATCATCTTATTAAAATCTATTAATATTCAAAATTATTTAAACTTAATTAAAAATATCAAATATTTCCTCGACTTTAAATAGACTTATTACAGTCGTAATGTTTATAATTTGTACGTGCAACTTTTGTATTTTTTTTTTTTTTTTTTTTTTTTCGTGATAACAAAATACATGTAAATATTAAAATTAAACAAATCATCGGTGACTTATTTGATAAGTTGAATTACTTTTATTTATAAATTATTTTTATTTTAATTCGATAAAAACTGATTTGTGAATACGAAAATATTAATGTCCAAAATTATTTGTAATTCTAAGATTTTCTAACCTTAACGTTACATTAACCTTAAATTAATTCTCCTTTATAAAAAACAATTAATTTAATCTATCTCCGCGTAAAAATAATATTCAATATTAGAATGTAAGAGGTTAAATTATTATGAAAAATTAATATAAGTATAAATGCATTAAATTTTTAAATACGGAAATTTCCATTTCAAAATTCGTAAACAAAAAAAATCCACAATTCGATCTCAATTATTATACGATATTAAACATGCCTTTTATAGTTTACCTCCACACACCCATTCGCTTAACTGTTAACATGAAAAATTATTATATTTATACATTTTTCAAACTCGTTTGCAAACTTAAATGACATTAAAAACATTCAATAATATTACGCAAATTGATAATACAGTGTAAGGTAATACAGGTTTATCAAGAGCATATTTGATTAAAGTTTTCCAAAAACAAGAGCAATATGCAAAATTTTATATTACCTCTCGAATTTATGTGGATGATAGTAGAAAGAAAAATATGAAATTTGAAATTTAGTCTCTATTCAATTCAAGATCAAATGTTTTGATTTATTAATCACCGATGCTTACATTTACGGAAGCATAAAATAAAATAAGAATAACATCGTCCGCTAGTTAAGCGATGAATTAGGAATTATTTTTAAACATCATTGTTTATATGGTATTTTCATTGTTTATGTGTAGAAATATGTAAGATTATTTATTACCTACAACATTTTTCTAATTAGATTTTAGATATTAAGATTTATAAAAATATTATGATAATGATATTGATTTCATATGACTTGGTAAATTTTAGAATTTTTATCAGAAAGAGAATTTTAGAATTATATAATTGGAAAAACCAGCAATTTTTCTTTTCTCACATGCACTGAAGAGATTTTACGAGATAATACTTTATCTTTAGATTTTTTTATTTCGAAATTAGAAATAAATTTTTTATACATACTTTTTATTTGTCGAAGAAACAAAATTTAGACAAATTTTCAATTCAAACAATTTTTATGAAATATAATTGTTGCTAAGTTCAAAGATATTTCATAAGGACCAATTCCTTAAATTATATTAACTAAAAAATTTCAACATTAATACTTCTTCTTAAGTAAAAACATTTTATCAAGTTAAATTTATTTATTTTCATAGATATTATTAATTTCAATACAAAATATTATATAAAAATTTACATAATCTTTATATGTGTATATATATATATATATATATATATGTATATCAACAGTATAAATACTTCGATTGATAATTTTTCAATTAATAATGATCATTATGATACTTGGAAATAAAAGCTTTTATTTATATAGAGAAATATCACGTTTTAGTTTTTTGTTTCTTCTACCTTTTGATTTTCAAAATTTGATTTTGCATCATTTGAAATCATTTGAATATTCCAATATTATTTTCATTTCATTTATACTTACATATATATATATACAAATAATATTTGTTTGGTAACAGATATTAAAAGAATCTTCGAAATGATTTTTTTGCTTTGTTTTGTTTTTTGTTTGTTTGTTTGTTATTAGAATATAAATAAGTATAATAAAAATATGATAAAAATATAATAAAAATTAATAAATTATAATGAAAATTATGAAATGTGAAATGTTCAATCATTTCGATATATATTAATTATACAAGGATAAACTATGATTATTTTATATTAAAAAAGTAAAAAATAGTATAATAAGGTACTTCATTATAACTACATTTAGATAAAATTTAAAAATATATTATCAATGAGATCTTTTACAGGACATTTGAAAATAGGAATAACTATATAACGGTATATATAGACCGGTTTTTTGTATCAAAAATTTTTGAAATTCGTTCTTATGTATATTATGATGATTATTATAAAAATAAACATACTCGTATATAAGATTATATTTATTTAATCAAATACTTATTTGTTAAAAATTGGTACATTGTAAAAAAAATAATGATTACAGTATGTTTATGTAAAACCTGATAAAAATTGATAAGATATATGTTCTAATTAGTTAATAAAAGCAATTTATTAATTTTTATATATGAGAAATCTAGTTTACTATAATTTTATTTATTATTTTAAAAACTTGATGGCAATAATTTGATACAAAAACTTAATAACAATATACATAATTAAAAAGAACGATAAACATCTTCACAATAAATTTATAATAATTTAACAATAAGAAGAAAAAATTCGTAACAAATTAATTTATTGAATATATAAAATTATTTCTTTATATATTGAACGTATAAAATACTCCTTTATATTGAATATATAAAAAGTGTGTGACTTTATTCGATATAATGTTTTATTCATTGCCCTTGAATTCCTAAATTCTTATGAAAGAGTTCAATAGACTGAAGGCCGCTTATAGCATCATTTAATTCCATTTTTGACAATTATTAGCAAAATATATCGTTAAAAATAAAAAAGCATTAAAAACAATAATAACGGATAAAATTGATTTTAATTGCTAATTATTCATATATTCCATTATTTTCATCTTAGTCAATCGCATGATAAAGAATTGAATAATCAAATAGGTAAAAGGTTTCGATCGAAACATTATCGATTTTAAAAATATACTATATTCTTTAATCTCCATTTAATCTAATATTACGTTGAAGAAAAAATTATAATTAATTTTATTATCACAAACAATTTTCATATGAATTTTTTCATATTATAAATGTTTGTACCGTCAAATAAACTGATGATTAAAAAGTTTGAAATTATTCGCAGAATTTATTGAAACTGTGAATCAAACTACCCATTTCTATTACATATAAATCTAACATTTTTTTCTTTGTAACTATTGCCACTACACTAGGTAATGAATTTTCTTGGAAATTTTGGAATGCAATAGAAAAATGAGAGATTTGCGTTATTTTAGAATTTGAAGTAGAAATATGTTCCCACTACTTACTTTTATATTGTTGGAATTCGATGAAGGCCTTCATTACTATTTTTTATTTTATAGTTCCGGAATATATTAACCCTATCTGAAATTAGGAAAGAAGCGATTAATATCAATATATCGAATGTTTAAAATATCTACGCCATAATCGTTCAAAAATATTACTTTAATAACTGTTGAAATTATAATATAAAATATTTGGGAATTAGTAATTACATTAGATATGTTGTTTAATATTTTTAATTATTAAGTATTAATAGATTACGAAAAAATATACTAATATACATTTATGTCGTTACTTGTTCGTAAAATCAATTTTTAAAAGAAAAAATATTTTAATCAGAATATGTAAATGAGCAACTTGAATTGTAACCGAAAAAACCAAGTAATATAATAATTGTGCCCATTAGTATATAATTTATATATATATATATATATATATATATATATATATACATATATATATATATAAATATATTTAATTTTTAATTATTTTTAATTATTGTTATTATTAACAAATATTAATAATTATTGGATTTATAGATATAAATGAAGTCATTGTCATGCATCATTTTATTGTTTATAATATATTTACATTTATTTGATTTTCTGATTAGAGGTTTTGAAAAAAGATTATGAATTCAACGTTAACAACATTAAAAAATAAATGTTATTTATATAACTGCAGAGAGAAAAAAAATTTGATAATACTAAATAAATACTGCATTATAAATTTAAATAATATTCACATCTAAATATAAGTATATTTTTAATAAAATAATTATGGTCATCCAGTAATTAAAAATATTCACAATAAAAATTGATATAAAAAATAAATCTAAAATTGCAAAGAACAAATTATTGAATTATAAAGTAATTGTAAATGAACGTGTGGTATGAGCATAAGTTTCGTTATTTATAAATAATGAAAAAATATTTCAATAACATTCTCTCTCTCTATTCGCTTAAAATAGAAGACAATATATGACAGATTAAAGTATTTATTTTAAATTCAAATATATTCAGGCGAAAAAATGTTTACTAAATTGAGATTTTTAATGTAATTCGTGTTTACAAAATATTTATCAATATTATATGAATGAATAATATAATACATAATTTTAATATATATATATAAATGAAGAACTGGCTATCTACGAAATCTATATGGAATTTAATGTTGTCTTATGTATTGTAAAAAATATAAATAACAATAAGTAACGGCAGTATCAATAAATTATCTATCTTGTTAAAAGCAAAGTTGTAAGCTGATGACTTAATTTCGTTGCACCAGCCAATCGAAATTATGTCGATAGAACTTAGATAACGTATTTTGACGATTACGAAGAGAATCAATGCGGACGTCACTAAAATCGTAAAACTAAATAGGACTTGGGACGACCGGACGATGGCTTCTTGAAAAATTATGTAAGTAATTACACGCTTTGGATTATGCAAGTATTGCCAAAGCCTTGTTATGCGAGTAAGCGGTGCTTGGCGTACAATCCATTACGTTGTGCACCGATACATTTAAACCGGTTCGCATTACTCTCTCTCTCTCTCTCTCTCTCTCTCTCACACACACACACACACACACACACACACTCGCTTACTCTCACTTCTCACTCCCTCGCTCACTTACTGTCTCTCCCTCTCCCTGTCTCTCTCTCTCTCTCTCTCTCTCTCTCTCTCTCTCTCTGGATCCAAAAATCTATACATCTTCTATCTATGTACCTATAAATTCATCTTCATTCACCTATATATTCATCAATCCAAATTTCATTAAAAAAAAAAAAAAAACAAAAAAACAAAAAAAAAAAGCGAAATACGAAGAACACGAATGTATTTAAATTTATTCAGAAATAATACAATTAAAGGAAATTATTTACTTCTAAAATAAAAGTCAATGCTGAATTAAATTATTTTCAGGTAGATTACTGCTCTTTAAAAATAATAAACGGGTAAATCAAGTGTATTTTCAAGTTGCGAAATAAAAATATTCTACTACACGAAATATGCGTATAAATAGTAATATGATTTAACATATGTAAGATATGAAATTACAATATTTCTTATAAATTTTGTTTTATATGTTTCAATCATTCGAAAGTAATTCAAAGTATCGAATAAAAGAAGTAATTAAACAATGTTTATAACACTTAAATTGTTAACAATCTTTTTAAATAACTTTTAAAATTTACTTGATTAAAATAGATATTAATGTAAATGAATTTGAAGCAACTCACGTTTTAGTTGCCAAGGCATTAACGAATGTAAAATTTTTTTTTTTATTAATGAATAATTATGTATTATAAGATTTGTTCTTCCATAGTGAATATCTTCTTCAAAACTTCTTAAACAAAATTTTACGAATATATCCAAGCACATATTGTTCTATATCTTTTTATCATTTCTTATGAAAATCTTCATACAATACAATTATTTCCAAGATATTTTATAACTTTATTAAATTATCTGAATGTTTAATCAATATTTTTATAAAATCGAATTGTAATAAATTTAAATTGTTCATTTTTTCAAGAATAAATTTTTTTTATGAAATACAATGTTTGTTTACTAGGGATATCAAAATTCTAAAACATATTTTTATCAATAAATAATATCAATGATCTTTGGAAGAAAATAATTTTAATAGATAATGATAAATTTCAGTGCACCAGTGAAGATTGAAATTTTATGATAATATTAAATTATTCCACTACCTGATAAAAAAACTGATTCTACTTTTATTATTATGATCAATAATTTTTATTTATTGTTATTTTCATTTATTATTAAATATAAATATCATTGTCTATTATATTATGAATTGGTATTTTTAATTTAATAATAATTAACTTCGACAAAATTGTATATAAATTAAAGTACAATTAAATATTTTAAAATTTCAATGAAATATCATGCGAGAAAGTACATTAAAAAATATACTTAATAATTATTATACGAAAGCGCTTTCCTGAATTCGTATATACAATCGTCATTTTATTGTTCATAATAATTATTATAGCATATTTAAATAAGAAATAGAAATACAAAATAAATATAAAATTATTTAAATTATAAGATGAATAAACAACTACGTGATTATTGTATGAAATTATTTATTAAATTTACGCCTTTTCATAGAACATTATAAATCAATAAATCAATACTATAGATTGGAATTTAGCATTACAAAATACTCTTTTATCTATTTTTAGAAATTTCTATATGTTAATAAATTATTTTAAATAAATCAATAATGCTATTATTTTTTTCAGTTCCATATTATTTAATTCAAATGCTTTTTCTTTCCTATTCAATATTATATACTTTACTTTAATGTTAAACATTATTCACATAAATATTATCATTCTACTTATATGTGAAAATAGCTTTAACTAAAATGAAAATTTCAACATTTTTTTATCAATGCTTTTCATGAAAAAGCATTAGTAATTCTAGAAAATAAGTACTAGTGAAATGAATTAATCAATATTTTTAATTATAAATGTTTAATCATCAAAATATTTTTTTTACTTTTAATCTAACTTTTGTTTACAATGAAATAAATGTTTATATAAGTAATTAATACGATGATTATGTCTATAAAATTTTCATTTAATTATGCAAAAATATCTCGTTCATACAATCAAGGTTTTCAAAATGTTAACAAAATCATTAAAGATAATATAAATTTAATTCAATTTATTACACACATATGTAAAATTTATATGTGGAGCGTTTACATCGTCATAAAACTGTCTACTATAAAGTAAACAAAACATTTTAATTATTCATATGAATTTAAAATACATATATATTTTTATTTTAGTTAATTCTACTTATATTTATATATATTTTGATGTAAATAATAAAAAATCTATCGATCCATTGTGTTTCTTTAAAATATACTGTTCTAGATTGAAATTGAAATTACAAATTGTACAGAAAAAAAAATATATAATTTCAATTATATTATATATTATGAATTTCTTATTTTTCTAAATCAGTTTCAAATATCATGAAAAATGCTAATATATTATAAGTTTCGGGATAAAACGAGAAGGAAATTTTCGAAAATTATTCATATTAACTGTATGTATATTATAGAAAATTCGCTTATATTAACTTATTAGCTTATTATAACTCTTGTTATTGATTTAATTGTTATAACGCGAATACGCTAGCATTAGTTTCAGGATCTTATTAAACAAATACTGTAAATACTCTACATTCTGTATATATTTATACGTTTTCAAAAAGTTTTTAAAGATCCTATAGTAAAACTGATATTTCAATTTAAAAAATTTGTAAAGTATATATTTTTTGTATATACTTTTTTTTTAATCATTATATAGCATAATAGAGATAATGATAAACTTTTTTATTTATAAAACATTATAAGAAGCTATTCTCTTTACTACATTAATTTTGAAATTATACTTGAATAATTAACATAACATAATAAAATTAAACAACTTATAATTATATATTTCTATTGTGATTAATGTTCCTTTATTTGAAATAATTAATTAAAAATATTTGGGATAAAAGCTGATTAGGTTACGAATGGTAAAAGGATCACATATAAAATACTATTATTACATTATTTAATTTTTTTGTTATTTGCTTATTTATTCTTATCATTTATATATGAGATAAATATTGAATAAATATTGCAAAAATATTATACGATTCTTATACGATTCAAGTTAAGCATTTCCAATTATAATAAACAAAATAGTCATACACTACTTCATAGAACGTAATGTTTTATGTTATTGAATGAATATTTCACGTTTTGTTGCACTAATACCATTAAAACGTAAAAAATATTTAAAATATATATTCAGTGATTGTTTATAATGTTGTAAATAAATATAAGCGTAAATATCAAATTAAATATCAATACTCAATAAACATTTTTCTTTTTAAAAATAGTAATAAAATCATGTTCATAACGAATGAAAACAAAATTTTTAATTATTTAAATGAATAATAATTTATATATATCTATTGATATGTCCATGTAAGCAAGGACCTTATAGACCGTTAAATTGTAAAATCATTAAATTTTTTTACATAAATTTACTGCTCTTTGACGTACACTATTATATATATATAGTTACATATATATCGTATTTATAGAAAAATAATAATATTCGATTAATATGATTGTTATGATTTTTCGAATTAATAAAACAAAATCGTACATTGCATACAATTTCTTCCGAATAATTGAAATGAATGTATATGATGCTACTATCATTAATTTATAAACATTAAGCTCAACAATGAAAATTATTTGAATGCTACCCAGTGTGGCATGCAAACTAACAAAACTAATCAAATTAATAATGTGATAAACCTCAAAGAAATACAATGCAAACCTTCTTTTTACAGTCTCGTGTGGGCCAATCGCCTGACTGACGAATTGAATTATCTTTGATTTGTCAATAATTATTCACAAATCTTCTTATATATCTATTCTGCAATCATATTCTATTCATAATCATCACTGCACCAAAACAACTGTTCACTTAACGTTTAGTTATTTAATATTAATTAAATCCAGTTGAATTAAAATTAACTAAAACACTTAGGAAAGAAAAGAAGGAATCTTTCAATGAATAACAACTATTATTCCTTTTATTATAATTACGCAAATTTAATTTCAAATATTGTCTCAAAGACGCGTGCTCAGTTTACTATTTAATATTTAACAGTAAGCGTGAGTGTGTTCCCTCTCCTTGGTCCCAAAACCCCAGCCAAAGTCCGGCTCCGAGTCCGAGAGATGTCTTGCACGTTCGATCTCTTATACTTGCAGGCTCCTTCTCTCCTCTCACTCTACTCTTACGCGCGGCTCATTCGACCCTTCCTCTCTGCATATATGCAAACTAGCCTAATGGAGCAGCAATGGTCAGATCTTATACTTCTCCGGTCGCTTTTTTTTTTCTTTCAGTTTGTAGAAATAGGCTTTTTGAAAAACAAATAACAAATCGACTAATCTTTTATTTATAGAAAAATTTAAAAAAAGGAAAAAAAATTATCCATCAACGTATTTATAATCCTTTGGGTTTTTTTTTTTCTTTTTTTTTTTTAAATTCAAATGACGTTTCATTATATTCATGTAATTTATAAATTATACATTAATACATTTATATATTTTCCAATAGAATTAACATTGTGTATTCTCATAATACAAGTTAAGGTATAAACGAGCGTTCTACATGTACATACATATTTTCCTCAAATAATAATGCCACATTATGATAAATAACTAAATATTATCACAAACACATTACCATTAATATATACCACATATTAATTCAATATAACTAATTTCACATGGATTTCGTTTTACATATACAACTCACTTACTTCACGTAGGCTGTATTCTATGGATATAATTATCCACACTTCTTTGTGATATTAATATAAGAGAATGACATTTTTTTTTTATCTCATATAAAAATAGCTACATCAATCATTATAATTATTTTAAAATACGCTATCGCTTATTGAAAGTGAAGAGTTAATTTAAGAAATTAATATTATTTACTTTTGAAGCATATGCAGTGAGATGCAAGTTTCATTAACTGAAAATATTAAAGAACAGTTTAAAAATTTAAATCCTATGTCTAATATAAAAGTTGTCTCAGTTATTTTTAAATTATTTTATAATTTTGTCAACGTACAAATTAATTTCTCTTATTATATTTTATTGTACATATATTCCATTAAAAACCATTACAAAAAAATAATCCGAACGTTTATTACAAACGTAATCCGAATATATAATAGAATATTAATAACAAAGTTAATAGTTACAACACCTCGAGTAATTTTCATTTATATAACTTTTTATTAAATAAGCAACATTAAGACTGCGAAACACAAAAAAAATTAATATTAAAAATAATAGTTTATACATATATTGACGTAAATAATAATTTGAAGTTGATGTTTTTCAATAAAATTGATATTCCTTCAACTAAATAGAATATAATACAATAAATCTTTCGTAATAATATAATTCAAGTTCATCGTGATTATCGGTCAAACTCACAGCTCAGATGATCCTTCAATATATTATGTTTTGACGAGTGATCATTAAATTGTAAAAAATCAACTTTACTCGATTCGCTCAACCGAGGATAATTAAATGATTGTTGGAATATTTATTTGGTATAAATATGTAAATTTAATCTCAACTAGCAGACTTGAAGTAGAGGCTAAGACTGTCTTTGATTTATGTAGACTGATATAGGTGTCATTATATATCCATCGAAGAGTTTTATTTCATTGCTGTGATATTAACAATAACACGTTGAGCACTAGTAAATAATAGATAAAAATATTATTCAACAATAAAAACAAAAATTAAAAATAATTAATTATTTCTGAAAATTTTAATGCAAAAACAAACATCATCTAGCCTTTAAATACTTACAAAATATACAGACTAATCAAATTAATAAATAAATGTCGATATGTATGTATGTGTGTATTTATTGCCAGTAGATTATTATATGTGTGTGTCTTGCTCTATTTGTGTTGAGCGCGCTTCTATTTATAAATATAGAATTTGATACATTTTTAACATTATTCTGTATATATATATATATATATATATATATATATATATATATTTGAATTTTGATAATTTGTTTTAATATAATCTGTTATGTCTGGCCTACTATGTATTATATAAAATTTACTTAAAATTTTGATCATTTTTGTCATTATTTCATGATATTTTATGGTACGCAACATTATAATAATTCACAGTCTTTCTTATCTTTGTCATTAATTCAATTTATACCATTTTAACATATAACTTTTTTTTTTTTTTTTTTTTTAAAAAAAAAAGACATTTTTTAACGTTAATTTTTTATTTTTAATTAAATTTTTGAATCATACTTAAAAAATAACTAAATTATTAATTGTTTATAGTTTCCATATTTATATATATATTCTAAAAATTATCTATCTGGAATATTTAATTATAGTGTTTTTAAAATTTTGCAGTAAATTACTTTAAAAAAAATATGAGAATTAAGTGTATTGTACAAAAATTATTTATTAAAATTATTTTAAAACAACTTTTTTTTTATCATATTTGGTCTTGTTAATTAAATAGCCTAATAAATTCAAAATTCATAACATACCATGATTCTTGAAATATTGAAAAATAAATAACAATGTATAAATGTTAACTATAAAAAAAAAAAAGAAGAAATATAAAGAAATGATTAAAATTAATACTAACGATTACATTATCGTTATTACAAGTAATCTGTGGCAACTTTCCGATATAATATACATTAGCTTTATTATCATTGTCATACTTAATTGATATTTTCTTTATGTAAATAATTTATAAATCATTGAACTTTTTTCATTCTTCAGTTCTCTAAAATAACAAAACAAAAACAAAGCAAAAAAAAATTATGTTACAGACACGATTGTCAATATATTGACTTTAAATTAGTTATTAGAATATTTTGAAATTTCATGATAATAATAACGAATAAATAATTTATTTATATGATAATATAAAATTACGTTACATTTTCAAAAACATCGAATTTGATTTAAAAATAGTACTGTTATACTTATGGCTAATTGGAAAATCATATTCAATTTCAAAACAGACTATTGATTCGCCAAAATATATATTTAATAATAAAAAATGTCCACAACATTACAATAATCCTGTAATTCAGGCATACATCAATTTATCAATATTTCGACTTATAAATATTTCAGAATAGATGATTGACTTTATAAGGGCACTCACATCATTAATAATTATGGAAGTTCGTATAAATCGTGCGAATAGATGACAATGACTTATATTATTTCTTCCATAGCTTAACTTTGATCTCTATTTATGCATTATTCATCAAATAATTATAAAAAATTATTTCCATTTAAGTTATAAAAAAAATTTGAAAAATATTAAATATGTCGATAGAAAAATCTGTACGATTACTTCTTGCCTCAGCGTTACAAAATTAGAATTTTGAAAGCAAATCAACGGCTTTAGAAATTAAAACAATTTTCAAGTTCTCTGTCCTACAGAAGTAAGAATCGTAACAAGTGCAGGTTGGCGTAAATTCACTGATTACGTGATAAATGTTGTGGTGGTAGAGCATGTGAATGAACTGTTAAATATGAGAGAAAGGATAGAAAGAGCAGAAAAATATTTACTATGTATAGAAGGCAACCGGTATAGATGTTATTGAGTTCCCATAAATTCTGACATTTTTAAGGTAAAATATTCGACTATTTTTGTTCTCAAATTGACCCAAAGTAGTAATTTTTTTTTTTTTTTTTTTTTTTTTTTTTTTTTTTTAGTATTTAATGCAAATATTTTATTGTTGCTTTCATAATATTTATCACTTAATACACCTTTTAACATTAAAATAATAATCTATGCACTATTAGCACGAATTGTATACATTTTTATTATCTCCGAACGTATTACTACAGAAAATCTAAAATAAATTATAAACAATGTACTTACTAATTTTTGTTTAGCAACATTTAGGTACAATCCATTCATAGAATAGATATTCCGTAAACGTAATATTAAAGTATATACATGAAATAGGACAAAATTACAATTAAATTTAGTTAAAAAAAAAAAAAATAATAACAAAACGATGAAATTAAGAATAACATAACAATATACACAATTTTTTGTACTATTTTGACACGAGGCGTTCAGATACAAATAATTTACAACCTAATAAATCGAAAACAGTAGAGTTTTTCTTACAGTTGAATATATTTGATAAAGATACAATTAATATAAATAATATAAAATACACATCTGTAAATTGAAAATATCAAGTCAATTGACATAAAATTAATCAACACTGGCAGAGACACATAAAATTTTTTTTTTTTAATGACTACCTATTCAATGTTATCACGTCATATTTATATTAAAGTTTAAAAATAAATAAACTATACAAGTTTCAATTTATCGCCGTATTCCGAAACTTTTGAATAAAAAGGAATAACGAGAATAAATTTGATTAATAATTTTCATAAATCAATATTTATTAAAAAATTGAAAGCTAGATTAATATATAGCTATTATTATTTTCCTTGATGAGAAAAAAACGAGCTATATAAAACAAACGAAATAAACATAAATATTTTAATAAATAATATTTAAGATTAAAATATTTAATATACAAAATATTTAATGAATAATTTGAAAAATTTCATAAACAAAATAGTTAATAATATATTATTTTACCGATACGAATAATAAATTTTTCAACATAAATATTTCACTAAGCTCTGTAAAAAGAAAATTCATTACTATTTACCTAAAATTAACAACATTTTCACACCTTTTATCATAATGTAAGTACAACCTGAATAATGAAAGAAAATAAAAATATAATAAAAATATTCTGAAACAAAATTCATAAGATAAATACATCTTTTGCATTATTAAAACTGCATTTTTTAAAACACTTGAATAAGATGTATTAATTATTTGCTCATTCATATTATTTATTGAATTTTTTAAATCCCTATAAAAATATTAGAGTACCTA